ATATTATTACTGTTTTAAATATTTTAACTGTATAAATTTGTTATTTTAATAGCTTCTTCAAAAAATAAAGAATTATAGAGGTTTAGCGGTGCAGAGCGTTAGGTTGACAATGTGAAAAGTTTTTGGATAAGAACGATTACCTCTCTTGAAAAATAACGCCAAGGCCTCTGCAATTGTAAAGTAGAAGGAAAATCCAAAAATAAGCGATTGTTATTGTTTATTATTTGAACAAAATGATGATAGTATGTTCTGGATCTCTATAATAGCAAGGTCTGCATTTTCAGAAGTTACAGTTCCTAATCTAATGAATGAATATTGCACCTTTGCACTTGCGGTGTGTGATGTATTCTTGCATCCAAAATCTAAAAGCATTATATACGACGAGAAAAATATAAAACGTCGTATTGAAAATTATCTTGTATATATTTAATGTTTTTCTTTATTATAAGATTATTGTACAATACTAACATTTTAATAAATATAGAATAATTTTAATAACAATGAACCCTCTTATAATTCATCAGAAATGATTATAGATGAAGCAGAGATTTAGCACCGCTCTGAATCATGGGCAAATACTCCCGAATTAGGATCTAATACTCCTTCTCAGGGTAGTTTTAGAGCTCTTCTTTCACAAGAAAATATAGATGAATTGTTTGGTCTTGACCATTATGCATGATTAATTTAGTTTTAATTAGTTATGTTCATTGCATGTAATCAGTGATTTGTATTTTTTAATTTTTAATTAGTTATGTTTGTTGCATATAATTCAGCGATTTGTATTTTTTAATTTTCAATTAATAAATTCTATTGCAATAAATATTATTTGTATAGTAAAAAGTAAATATTTGATTTATTAGTATTGATTTACTAAATATGAATAATAAGTGTATAGTATAATAATATTGATATTGGTATTATTAGAAAAATTTGATTAAAATTGTTATACGTTAATTAATATGAATTAAGATTTATTTAACTCAATAGAATAGGCAGGATTACTATCGATTTCTATCTAAATTAATAGAAATCGGCGGGATTACTATCGATTTCTATCTAAATCGATAGAAATCAGCGAGGAAGATTTAAATCGATATTTATTTGATAATTGTTAAAAATTGATGCTAATCTCTTTGCAAATTTTCGTGATGATGTTCCATCGTCCTTTCTGGTTTCCTGGATTTACAATGATCTAAAAGCTTATTCATATAACTCGTATATCACACAAATGCTCTATAATCTCCCAATCCTGTTAGTACCACCAGAGTTACAAAGATCTCATTTCAACTATTAATCAGACGGCAGTAACGTTGTACAGGTAGAATTTTTCGAAATTCGTCGCTAGTAGGTTTCGAACCCTACCTAGCCAACATATCACTTGGGGGTGCGACAACTTAACCACTTCACTAAGTCGCCACACTCTTTAACCCCAGAAAATTATTATAATACAATTATTAATTGAATATATCATTTTTCAAAAGCTAAATTTTTTGTAGTAAAAACTTTAAGTTTTACTTTTATATATTTATAATCTACTACAGTCAAACCTCTTTATAATTTTACCCTTGATTTTAAGAATTTGGTGCTTATAGAGAGTTTGTGCTTATATAGAGATTACAGTATATATCCGAAAATAAGCTACCTTTTTTGGCCAAAAAGTTACACAAAAATTTTGCAAGTAGCTTATTTTCAAATAAAGGCATTTTTTGTTAATTCTGAAAAATTTTACTAAGTAAATCGATCCTGCGTATTAAGTGAAAATTGTTCAAGAGATCAAAATACATATATTTTAAAATTTTCATATAAATCAGATAACTTTTTATTAATTAATTGACTTTTGATTTTTACATTCAACGAATATGAATTTTAAAGAAACTTTAAAGAAATTTTAAAAAATTCGTCGAATGTAACATGTAAAAACGTATTAATAAAAGGTTATCCAATTTGGATAAAATTTTCAAAACATATGTATTTTGATCTTCTGAACAACTTTCACTTAATAAGCTTGGTCGATTTACTTAGTAAAATTTTGACTTTACTATAGAGTAACTACCAATAATTATTAAGTAGCTTATTTTCAGGTATAAGGCATTTTTACATTTTTCTTCCAAAAAAGGAAGGTAGCTTATTTTCAGAGTAGCTTATTTTTAGGAATATACAGTAAATTTTATAAGTGCTATATAAGTTGGTTTTAAAATTTTATGTGACTATAAGCAAATGTGACTATAGAGGAGGTGACTATAGAGAGATCTAACTATATTTATATAATTTACTACTTGTACAATATGGTATATCTACTATTTGTATAATATATATATCACTATTAGACAATATACGTAATAAAAAGTATATCAGTATCAGTTTTTTTAACTTATAATAAAATGATTATTTGCTATTCCTGTATATTAATATTAATAAATAATATTGATATATACTAATATTTATCAAATTTAAGCAATTTATTAAAATCAGGTCTCTCCTGATTATATGCCAAATTGTACCAACAATTGGTATAAATTAGGAATAATTATTTTATTATTATTTTTTTTTTTGGTGTTAAGGTGGCCTCTTGGCCGGCTCCTTTTATTCGGTTATAGATAACTTTTACAATATGTGTTTATAGCATCTCGTATACATATTTGGAGAGTACATACTAGTCACACGTACAACTTTTGGTTGCCTATTTAAGTAGTCCGCTTATTACTAAGTTCTACACTAGATGTCATACCTGCAATCCGACTAGGGGGTTACCTATTTTAATTTAGGATTTTCCATTATTAATAAACCGATATAATTATAAAACTTTTTCCAATATGAAAATTCATTAAAAGAACTATTTTGAGGATCGTAACCAGATATTAAGGACTTAATTAGCTTGTTAATCTCTTCTTTTTGCAAATGTTCATCGGTTCGCTTAACTTGATTATACATCGCCTGAACATGGTTTATTCGATAATAAAATTTCTCCCAGTCGAGGTTAATTTGAGTCTGTTCTTTGTGTTTTTTCAATGCAATAAGAACTTGCTGCCAGCCTTGATTGTTATCAATTTTAA